TGGTGCTAAATGGAAACAAGACTTGCGACAAGTCTATTTCCTCTGTTAGAATGCATGAATATATGATTATACGTATATGAATGACATGAATTATATGTATGCATGATTATATGTGTTAACATGCTTTTGAATGTAATGTTATGAGAAGTATGTACTATGTAATGTATATATATGAACATATGTGAAACTGAACTATGTGACTGCATGAGAAAGATATGAGCCATATGACATGATATATGTGAACATGAGAAAACAAGGTATAAGATATGAACTATGTGATCCTATGAGAATATGAAAAGAAGCTATGTGACTACATGTATATGTGAAAGAAGCTATGAGCTTATATGGCATGTGATATGAAATATATATGTGAAAACAAGTATATGTTATGAGATAAGATCTACGTGATTACATGCAACATATGATATTAGATATATGTTTACACATACTTGTGGTATGTGACAGAAAAGAAAAGATATGTGGTTATAAGAGAAAGAATATGAATAAGTAATGTGAACTGTTATAAAGGATAATGCCCATGTTATGTGATATGAGAGCTAGGGGTATAGTTGGCATGCCAAGGGTCGAGGACTGTTTACCTATGTTCTTCGGAACATACGGACTGTTTACCTATGTTCTTCGGAACATACGGACTGTTTACCTATGTCCTTCGGGACATATGGACTGATTACCTAGGTTCTTCGGAATCTATGGACTGGTCCTTCGGGACATTGATCGAGCTGTGGTGACAGCATATGTGTGCACAACCTCAATGTACTCACATACCTTAAGTTCTCACTAGTGTACATGGGCTAATAAAGTAATTAAACAAGCATACTGAATGTGATATGTATACGATGGGTTTATAAGTGGTTTGAAATGTGTTACGTGAACCATATGATGAATTATGTGTCTGTATGTATTTACTGTAATTAATCTGATATGATTTTATATGATACGAAGAATGCATGGAATTGCTATAACATGATAGAAAAGAACATGCATGTATCGATATATGTTTGAAAGTGTATTATAAGTCGTTATGCCTCACTAAGTCTTCGACTTAGCGTGTGATTGTTTCACACGTAGGTTTCGAGAAGAGTAAAGAGTGATGCGGAGCAAGACAGGTCAGTTTCCTTACCAAAAGATCAGATCAGAAATGTTTGACAAAGTATGTATTTGTTTATGTATAAGTGTTGGCATGTAATAAGTCATTAAGTATGAGCACTCTGATAAAGTCTGTATTTTGTTTTAAATAAAGTTTTAAATTTCCCGGGATTTTTCTTAAGAGTCAAGGTTTGAAAAGTCAATGTGACACTTCGGACTCGTACCCGGGTCGGATACGGGTTGGGGGTGTTACAAAGTATATGATTATATGATAAGAGGTATTAATGATAATAATAGGATAATGATAAGGAAGAAGATAATCATATATGTACATGTGTGGATTTGATATATGAATAAAAATACGATGGTATATGTGCATGTATGCATTTTGATATATGAAATGTTTTATGATTTTTATTATATGTTTTATATGCCTCACTAAGTCTATGACTTAGCGTGTGATTGTTTCACACGTAGGTTTCGAAAAGAATAAAGAGAAATGTGGAACAAGACAGGTCAGTTGCTTCTTACCGAAGATCAAATCAGAAAAGAATTTAGAATTATATGTATTTTGGATAGTGAAAGTAGTTGGCATGTAATTAATGTTTTAAATGGTATATGCTCTGACAAATTTTGTAATGTTTTAAACATATATATGTAAACGGTAAATGTATAGCGATGAAAGGTTAAATTTTAAGAGTTTATGTATGTTTTACGTAAGTACTGTAGCAGGGAATCGGTTCCCTGTAGCAGGGGAATCATATCTATTTAAACTTGCCAGCCTACAAGTAACAATCACGGTCCTAAACCTAACACCAACACTAAAGATCTCTATATATGAATCCCCTCAAGCCAGACTAAAGAGGCTCTTATTCTTCTTCAGACTTTCTAGACCATCGTTAATCAGATGACATTGATTGTTTGTAACTCTACGATAGATTACCGACCTCAACTTTTCACCTAAATCAAAAGGGATGAATCGCTAACGGCTGATACAACCTATTTGTTCCCATCAATAATTGGTACAGTGAGCGTGAAGATCATCTCGACAAAAAAGAATCAATCAAAATCAAGCCTCTCATCTCCTACTAAAATATCCCTGATAATTCTATAACCTGTCCTCTGTTAAAATTTTGTTAGTGTTGTTCTTCAGCTTGTGGCAAGTGATATGTACATGTGACGTATTAATGATAATATCTTCGGAAAGATCTCGGTCAGATCAAGGGATGATTTTTTATGAGAAAGATGAATGAGGTAAATTGCTGGATAGAGAGTATGATTTGATATTATGCAGAAAACATTTATTAGGGAAAACTCTCTCCTGATACACATTAATGCTATAACAACTCTAATGCATGGAAAATTTGGAGTTCTATTTCCTCAGTTTGAGTATTAGAATTCTCCAAAGACGGGTCCTCGATCGTCTTGTCAAGAATATTTTCTTGTTATTCCCATAAGAATATTACCATCATTCATTATGTTGCTATGACTTTGAGACGCCTCTACCGTGTTATTGTAGTGGAGATGCCCTCTATCTAGCGAAAACTTGAGTTACCTTTGTTATATTTTGAAGGGAAGAATATTTCACTACATTAACTGACCATGCAGTTAAGATAACTCTACCCCAAAATCGTCATATTCCTTCACCATAAGCTTAGCTTATTAAAACATGAGGTTCACATTTCTTTATTATAATTTTGAATTTTGTGTTATACTAATTCTTTATTTAATTCAGAATATTGTTATTCTTAAAATGAATAAACTATATCCACTATCATTTAATTATGGGTATATCTTATTTTAATAATCCATCTTTTAAGTTTATCAATCAAATCATTTAATTCTTTAAATGATGTCAAACAAGTCACATGTCATTAATATTTGATAGAAGAGTTAACGTGACACTTAACAAAATTGATATAATTATATATTTGATCATCGTTATTTATACATTCTATCAATTTAGTCCTAATTTTAATATATTTAAAAAATATTTAACATTTCAATCTAGTGATGACATGTCACTAATGATATGTGTCGTCACCTAATTGGAGGGTATATTCATTAATTATGGTTCAATTAATTCAATACATTTTCTCTTCAATCAGATGGTGACAAGTGTTACCATCTGATAAGAGAAAAAAATCATTGAATTAGATAAATCAAAATTAATAATATATCCTCAAATTAGGTGACGACAAATGTCATTTTTGAATTAAATTAAAATTAAGACTAAATTAATAGAATACATAAATAACGAGGACCAACTGTATGATTATACTAATTTTGTAAATTTTCACATCAACTTTTTCGTAAAATGTCAACGACATATGACTTAATTGACATCATTTAAATAGTTAAATTGTATGATTAATAAAATTAAAGATCAATCGTCGAAAATAGAATCTGTCCATAATTAAGTGGCTATGAATATGATTTAACCAAAAGAAAAAGACGTGGACGTTGACTTGTATACGTAACGTTGACTGTTAGTGAGATTTATTGGCCAACCATATTGTCCGAGACAGCGACATCTAAGGTCGAGCTCTGATCTTATGCCATCGGCCCTTTGCAAGGGCCCCTACTGTCTCAATCTGGGTTTTCTTCCGTTCTTGTGAATGATTTGACTGTTGTTTTGTATTTTTTGCCTTTCGGTTTAAATGTCCCATGTGGAATCCACATGTAGGTCGTAAACGTTCGACTCGAATTTGAGTAGTCTTGAGCTTGATTATATTTGAAAAGTGTAAAATCAGAGATGGAGTCTGTTGGTACCTAAAGGAGTCCTGATTCTTGTAAAAAATTTATATATTTGTTAGATTTTAATCTAATAATATTTTAGTTTAGGTAAAAATAAGTATTTTAATTAGAAAAATATATAATAAATTATTAAATATTAATCAAGTAGGGTCTGAACTAAAGAAAGATAATACCATCTTCTCAAAATTTTAGTCTAAAAATAATTTAGGTCATTATAAGTTTAAATATCTAATAAAACATTGTATTTATCTAAAAAAGTTCAATATTTCAGTCGCTGCCAATATTTAATCATGACTTCATCCCTATTTAAAATTGAGCTCAACTCAAAAATCCGCGAGTTTAAAATTGTCAAATTTTACTTGAACTTGAAATAAAAAGTTGAAGTTCGACTTGAAAACTCGCGAGCTTAAAATTTTCATGCTAAACTCGAAATAAAAAATTGAAGTTCGACTCGAGCTGGAAAAAACTTGAACTCGAAATATTATTAAACTTAATTCGATTGAAACTTAAACCTAAACTTTAAGTATATATAAATGTTAATAATTTAATTTAAAAAAATTAAAATTTTAATATATTATTTTTTTTAATTGCTCGTAACCTTTTTGAATCAAGTATCAATAATTTCATTTCAACTTGTTAAAAATTCGACTCAAACTCTAACGAATCTATTTAATTCAAGAATTAACCAAACTTTAATTAAATCAATCTTGATAATTTATATTCTATCTAGTCTCGCTCATATTACAGCCCACTAGCCTTCTATCCAAAGGCGTCGAAATGGCTCCATTCAATCTCTCTAAATTCTAAAAAGGACTTGCATTTTAATCACTACCCCCACTCTCTCTCTCTCTGGAAATCGTAGCCGTTGTTGCGAGTCAACGTAAAGTATCAAAATTTATGGCCAAACATTTGTTGAAATGAACCGAGACGTCAATGGTTAGATGGTTAACGAATGTACTGCAAACCATTCTTGTACTGCATTGCAGTACATGCAAAGAGGGTGTTCAAAGTATTGCCATAAAATCTTTCGGTGGGGTTTGGTAGTATCTATGGTTGATTTAGTATAAAATTAAGCAATTTCCTTCCCCAAACAATAAAATTCTTTAATTGCCTGATTTTGAGATACCCTTTTGAAGATTTTGGGGTAATCTCCGTTCGGATGCTCAATATAACGCCCTGTTGTTTTGCATTCAATTGAGAATTCCTATACGGTTTTTACCTCTTTTTTCTGGGGCTTGTGCCTTGCTCGTGGTCCTCTGGGTGTTTTTTACTGTTCTCGCTCGTTCTATTCATTGCAGTGAAACACTGCAACTTGGATGTTTGCTATATCTTATTTGGAGCTTTTTGCGGGTCAACTATTAATAAGGTCAGAAACGAGTTCATTATTGTATTGCAGACGTGTTATGTTCTGAAATTACGCAAAGAAAACAAGAAAAACAAATCCCAACTTGACGTTGTTTAATGAATTATTGTTTTGATATAATTGTGAAGAGCTGGAAGAACAAGAGTTGAGGCTGTGCAAGTTTTTCCGAGGTCTAGTCTTTTTTGTGGTATGAATTTTCATGGTTGCATAGATTGTTCATGTAGTTTTGTTTGCAGTATTTGTTTTTTCAATTTGATATTGTCTTGAAAATGAGGATTTTGTAATTATTAATTGGACCAGGTTTTATCACACTCCAACTGAAAACATGAACATGGAAGAGATGAGGGAGATTGAGAGAGTTGAGAGACAAGATTCAGAAGAGATGAACAATGAACAAGAGGAGTTGAAGAGAATAGCTCCCTGGACGAAACAGATCACCATTCGAGGACTCATTGCAAGCCTTCTTATCGGAATCATATACAGTGTGATAGTGATGAAACTCAACCTCACAACAGGGCTAGTCCCCAACCTCAATGTCTCGGCTGCTCTTCTTGCCTTCATATTTATAAAGTCTTGGACTAAGCTGCTTCAAAAGGCTGGATTTGTTTCAACTCCATTCACTCGACAAGAGAATACCATAATTCAGACTTGTGCAGTTGCGTGTTATAGTATTGCTGTTGGAGGTTTGAGTTCTCTTATTTCTCATCTGCTATCGATTTTCTCTTCCTTTTTTGGTATTTTTTTTTTAATTTTCTGGATACTATTTTTCCCCTGTTTTTGTTTTTCTCCATTTGTTATTGAGTGCAGGTGGCTTTGGGTCTTATCTATTGGGTTTAAACAGGAAGACATATAAACAAGCAGGAGTTGATACAGAAGGCAACAATCCTGGGAGCATCAAGGAACCCGGGCTTGGATGGATGATTGGTTTTCTCTTTGTCAGCTGCTTTGTTGGCCTTTTGGCATTGGTTCCTTTGCGAAAGGTATGTTTTTTAGGGGTTCTTTTATTTTCCTTTCTTGGTATACAGTGTTTCCAAGCTAAATTGATGGTAGATTCATTTGCAGTGATTTCATTTCTCAGTACTTCTGAAGATCATAACATATAAACTCAATGGTCAAGAACAATATCCTTTATGAAACTTTCCATGATTAGTGTTATTTTTGTTTTGGCAGATCATGATAGTTGACTACAAATTGTCCTATCCAAGTGGAACTGCTACTGCTGTTCTGATAAATGGGTTTCATACTCCTAAAGGGGACAAAATAGCTAAGTATGAAAACCAATTTGAATCCTTTCCTTTTGTCAAATTATGCACCAAAAAGGTTGTGATTATGAGATAACACGGTTATAATGATTCACATCTTGCAGGAAGCAGGTTCATGGATTTCTGAAATTCTTTTCATTTAGCTTCCTCTGGGCATTCTTCCAGTGGTTTTATGCAGGTGGTGATAAATGCGGGTTTGCTCAGTTTCCTACATTTGGTTTGAAAGCATGGAAAAACTCGTGCGTGCTCTAGCTTTTATCTTCACAATAGCTCATCTTTCCACTTGTGTATCCTTACCATTATGATTAATTGGAGCAATTCAATTTTGCAGGTTTTACTTTGATTTCAGCATGACTTACATAGGTGCAGGAATGATATGTTCACATCTTGTAAACTTATCTTTGCTCCTCGGAGCGGTTCTTTCTTGGGGAGTAATGTGGCCTCTAATAGGCGGTCTCAAAGGAGAGTGGTTCCCTGCAACTTTACCAGAAAGCAGCATGAAGAGTCTAAATGGTTACAAGGTCCGAGTAGGCGTTTTGTTTAGCAGAGAGATTTCAGTTAATGATATATTGGTACCAATAATCATACTCATTGTACACTTTTCCATATGTCATGCAGGTTTTCATTTCTATTGCTTTAATCCTGGGAGATGGGCTCTACAATTTTCTGAAGATACTGTTTTTCACTGCTAGAAGCATTCATACCAGAGTGAAAGTTACAAACCTCAATACATGTAAGTCATCAACTTCATAAAATGTCCAGCTTAATACTTCCATAAATTTCTACTCACTAAATATAGCTGCTGCTGCTTCTGAGGCACGAGGACTGGTTTCATTTTACGAAGGGTACTTAATAAACTCGGATATTCTGTTTACATGTTGAAGTATGGGACTGCCCCCTTTTATCATGAATTGACACGCTGCAACGTTTGTCATTTAAACTTTGGATTTGGAAGAGCCAAAGATATGGGACAGTTTTTGAGAGATTAATTACATCTCGTTCACTAACATCCTTTGTTTTTTATGCAGTTCCGGGTAACCAGAAGCAACATCAGGTTGATCTTCAACGAAACGAACTATTCATAAGAGAGAACATTCCAATTTGGCTTGCATGTGTAGGGTACACCCTTTTTTCGATCATTTCCATCATTGTAATCCCTTTGATGTTCCCTGAGCTGAAATGGTACTATGTAGTTGTTGCTTACATTCTCGCACCCTCTCTAAGCTTCTGCAATGCTTATGGTGCTGGTCTAACTGACATGAACATGGCGTATAATTATGGAAAAGTAGCCCTCTTTGTGCTTGCAGCTATGTCTGGACAGGAAAATGGTGTGGTTGCAGGACTTATTGGTTGTGGACTGATTAAGTCCATTGTTTCTATCTCATCTGATTTGATGCACGATTTTAAGACTGGTCATTTAACTCTCACTTCTCCAAGATCCATGCTGGTCAGCCAGGCAATTGGAACTGCCATCGGCTGTGTTGTTGCTCCTCTTACATTCTTTCTTTTCTACAAGGCTTTTGATGTGGGGAACCCTGATGGTGAATACAAAGCCCCATATGCTCTAATTTATCGAAACATGGCGATTCTAGGTGTTCAAGGCTTCTCGGCACTACCGCACCACTGTTTGCAGCTCTGCTATGGGTTTTTTGCCTTTGCCATAGCAACCAACTTGTTGAGAGATTTTAGTCCCAAAAACATTGGGAAATGGGTTCCACTTCCAATGGCAATGGCCGTGCCTTTCCTTGTAGGTGCATACTTTGCCATCGACATGTGTGTGGGGAGTTTGGTTGTATTTGCATGGAACAAGCTAAATGGAAAGAAGGCTGGTTTGATGGTCCCTGCCGTTGCATCTGGCTTGATCTGCGGAGATGGCTTGTGGCTTCTTCCTTCATCTATTCTTGCTTTGCTTAAGGTCCGTCCTCCGATCTGCATGAACTTCCTCGCATCGCCATAGACTTTGTTCAGAGGACATATAGGGGTAGAATGCAGAGGCTTTGTTAGCTACATTTAACAAATATCAAATGTAGTATAGTTCGAAATTCACCACGAATTACGGGACCAGCACAGTGTTTGATACACAAGCCGTCTTAAGAGTGGTAAAAGGCAACATTTGAGACATAGATAGCTGGTCTAATGTAACATACCTTTTATTTGAGGCAGGAATAGTTTTGTTCTGATGTAAGTATGCATTTGAAAAGAAAATGGTTTAATAAGAAATCAGTTTACGTGAAGAATAAACATCAAAACCCTATAGATGTTTCGAAGTTCCCACGGACTAATCTGGATCGACGTTGCACACTTAATTTTTATGTTATATAATTATATTTGTACACCCTTTTTCTTAACTGATGCTTTTGTTAACAGTAGTGTCGGTTATGGCATTCCTGTGGGAGCACTTGGGAAAAATATCATAGCAATTAGCAAACTTCATTGAGATAAATGTAGTGATAACATCATTTGGTATTTTGATTAGAGCTTTCAATCTAAAAAAGAAATTTAAATGCTTTCGAAGATTAAAAAGTTAAAGAGATGTGTATTTAATTAAAAAAAGGATTTTTTTATTAAAAAAAAAAAGAAGTCATATTAGCAATAAGGGTAAATAGTGCCAGTTATAACGATATCAGAAATACAAAGAGGATAATCATAAATAAAGGACTTTCACATTCGCTGCATTCATCAGTTGGGCAATGAAACCGCTCATACTTGGGCCAAATTTGCCTCCTCTCATGCTTCAACGATGTCTTTTACGTCTTCGTTGTATTTTTTTAATATCGTTGTAGCCTACTCTATTTCCAATTGATGTAGGGAAGGATATGCAATGAAACTTTGTATGGGAAGATGGACAAATTTCAGACTTGATTTAATGTTTTGTTAGAAGATAACGATAACATAACGATAGCACAATAGAATAGACACTAAGATTTTTAGTAAAAAACTCTTTAATAAAAAAACTACAGGTAAAAGAGGAGAATTTGTACTAATATAAAGAATACAAGAAGATTTCCAAAATAACTTGACATCTAATCTTAATCCATAGTTTTTATTTAAATGGAAATTTATTTAGTTACAAATGGAACTTATTTAATAGACATCCATTAGAACTAAATTTTATACTTTTTAACATAAAAAGTATATATGTTTCCTACTTTCAATCAAATTAGAATTTCATCTTTTCTCAAATTTCTCTTAATTTATATCTTCAGTAATATAAGTCAAATTAAATTCGAGTCAAATTCTCCACATTGACATAAAGTCTGAAAGTACAAATAATTTAAGATAAAATCTCAAATTCAATAAAACACTCAAACTTAAAAAAATCAATTCTTCACATCAAAGAATAAATTCTCTACCCCAAGAACATATTTTCCATCTCATCCATAAAACTCTTAAAAGGTTATTCATCAACAATTATTACCAACTGAATCCAAGCATTGCACATCTAAATTTATCATATAAATTTAATTAGAGTCCGACATATTTAAGGTAGAGTAGGTGATTAATAATTTCAATTGACATCTCTTTTCTTCTTTATACAGAACTGACTATAGGGGAGCACCCTGGGTAACAGCTCAAGGTACCACTTTTTACCTTAATTATTAAGGGCCTCAATTTTTTCAATTTTATAAAATTGTCCACACTTTTTATTTTATAATTGAGGGTCTTTTTTTTTTAATTTTTATAAAATGGTCTCACTTTCAACCTTTATAACTAAGAGCTCCTAATTTTTCTCAATTCTATAAAATTCTCAATTTCCCATCTCTTTCTCTATCTCTCTTATTAATCATTCAATTTTGAATTAAATCTAACCATATTTTTCTCTCTTTTCCGAATTTCATTCTTCAATTTATCAAATATCCTTTAACTCTTAGTCTTCTTCAACCTTAATCTAATGGTAAAATAATATATTGTTCTTTATTTTTTTGATTTATCGTTCAAAGTTAAACTCCATATTATACTCGCATATAATTTTTTATTTTCACTTAGTTGTATATAAGGTGTTTTCTTAACAAAACAATAAAAATAATATGTTTAATAATTTTTTTAATGATTTATAAAAAAATGTTTGACTTCTCATTATTATTTTTATTCTGACTTCAATTATTGTTGGATTTTTTATTGTTATAATATTTTAATTATCAAAATATTTAATATACTTTAATTATATTGAAGAACTCGAATAATACTGATTTACATTAATTATTTGAAATAAAAAATTTATTAGTTCATGAATCAATAAAATAAGAGTCTAGTGATTCTTTTAACCTTTGCATTTTTCAGGAAAAAATTATTTTAGTCCTTAAACGTGTTTATCGTTTTCGACCCTTGAACAGTTAAATTTTTTAGAGTTAACTACATGATTAAACATTTATATTTGTGTTTTGTCTAATTTTTCTCACTGATTTTAAAAAATATAATATATAATCACTTTCAGTTTTATTTAATTAAGATGTGATCACCATGAGCTAATTGCCGTTAATAGTTGACATATTAGGTGATGTGACAGTTAAATATTTTGGTATAATCACACATTTGGTCCATGTTATTTACATATTCTCTTAATTTAGTCATACTTTTAATAAATTAAAATAAATGTAATCCTCCAATCGAATTATGCCATGTGTCGTAATAATAAAATATATTTTTAAAAGTTTAGGTAAGAATAAAAATATATATATATTTTTAAATTAAAATTAAAATATTTTTTTTTAATTAAGTTAATAATAAAATTTATTTAATAAGTTAATGTAAAAAATATTTTTTAAAGTTGATATATATAAAAATTTATGAATTTAAGTTAATTATTTATATACAAAATATTTTTTAAAGTTAATTTATTTAGATTATGTCACATGGCGTAATTTGATTGGAGGATTAAATTTATTTTAATTTATTAAAAATATGATTAAATTGAGAGAATATATAAATAATAAGAACCAAATGTGTGGTTATACCAAAATATTACGTCAGGTAGTTTGTTAATTGTTAACCGCAATTAACCCGTGGTGACTACATCTTAATTAAATAAAAACGAAAGTGACCATATCTTAATTAAATAAAAACGAAAGTGATCATATATATATTTTTTGAAATCAGTGAGGAAAAGTGGATAAAACACAAACATAAGTGATCAACCATATAGTTAACCCATTTTTTTTTATCAAATTGAATCAATCGATTAAAAAAATTAGCATATATGTTAAGCTTTCATAAATTATTTTATTTTATTTAAAAAAGATAAAAAAAATAAAAATTTAAGAGTTAAAAGAAATAAAAAAAATAAAATTTTAAAAGATTAAAAAGCTTAAAGTGTTATTAATCTTGAAATAAATACATAAAAATAACGTGAATTATGAGTGTATATAATAAATACAATCTCTTTTGAATAGTTGAGTGATTATAAGATTATATATATTTTTAATTTTTATTAAACACATCTGCAGAACATAAAAAACATCTCACTCGGCTACTCAAAAGAGATCTACTTCTCTACCAATACCTTGTGCTAAAACATGTGCATCACAATTCCTTTCTCTAAATGCAAACACAATTTTTTAATTAAACTCAATGTAATAAACCTTACACTTCTTAGCTAACTAACTAAAAAAAAACTGCAGAGCCAAATTTGGTCTCTCAATCCAATCTACTGGCAATAAACTATCACATTCGATAACAAGGGTATGTGTGACGCACCATTTCGAAGAAGAGAACACTAAACAAGCTTCAAGGATACCCAACAACTTTGTATATGTTGGATCAGACAAATCAATTGATTTAAAAAATCGAATAAGAGAATGATCCCATATTGTTTATAACTTTTTTAATAATAATAATAATATTTTTTTACTACTAATATCACTTGATAGGTAGAGAAAAATATGTTAATGAAGCTTTGTATGGGAAGATAGACAAATTTCACAAACTTGGTGTAACATTCTCAACAATTGGTGGACTAAAACATGAGACACAAGCTCGCCGTCTTGTAATGATTATATATTTTTAAATGATTCGAAAAAAGGAAGTATAATACGAAATTGTATTCTATTAATATTGTACACAAGGATGGACCTAGATGTGGTGGGTGAGGGTGGTCGTCTCCTTAAGAGTTTTAAGTTCTTATCTATTTTAGATATATTTTATATTTTTTTATTGAAAATATATTTTTACTCTTAAAATTTTATAAATTCACCACTCCTAACATAAAATATTGTGTACGTCCGAGGTTACACACAGTTTATTGGACTATTTCGTGGAACTTTTCAAAATAGCACACCGTTTATTGGACTAATGTAGCAAAATAATAATAATTTTACGATAAAATATGTAAGACTTAAAATTTTGGTAAGCTTGGGCGTCGTTGAAGTCCTATGTTGGTAGGTGAATTTTAAAATGATATACTTTAAAATATAGCAACCGATAATGAATTAAAACATTTAGTTGCCCGTGAATGTTGAAAAAAGAAGGGTAAAGTACACAAATAGACCCCCAACTATAAGATACTATTTTGTTGAGTCCATCGACTATTAAAAAAGTTATAAAATGATATCTTGACTACATGGAGTTGATTTGTTGTGTCCCTCGACTATTAAAAGTCACAAAATGGTCACCCAACTATTCATTATGTTCCAAACTCGTCATTTTTTCTGTTTAAAACATTAATGATCGTCTGAGTTGGACATTAACATGATAGATGAGATATGATAGTCGTTTGAGATTATGAGATCATATTTTATCATATCTCAGTCAACAGGTTAATGTCCAACTCAGACTGTCGTCAATTTTTTAACGAAAAAAGGACATGTTTGGAACATAATGAATAGTCGGGTGATCATTTTGTGATTTTTAATAGTTAACAGACTCAACAAAGAAACTCTCTGTAGTCGGGAGATCATTTGTGTATTTTGCCAAAAAAGCGACGCTATTTATTAGGTAAACTACATATATAGTCACTAAACTAATAGGGTGGTTTTATTTTGACCATCGAGCTATAAATTTTATTAGTAAATTTTATGTATAGATCACTATGAAACCGATTAAGAGGCCTCAGTGATAAAAGGGAGTGTTATTCTCTCTAGAGGTTCCGAGTTCGAGCAGATGGGTCTGCAGGATGTGTGTGCATCCATTGTCAATTGACTCATAAAAGAAAATATTTATACATTTTATTAGTTTAATCTTAATTTTAATTTAATAAATTTAATTGTTAATTAAATATTCATCATATGATTTAATGAAAACAAATGACTCATAATCAAAAAGAAGGAAACTATATCATATGATAGAGTTAAATGATTGACAACACTTTTTGTGTATGTTAAACTATATCATATTATTTCTATAAAAATTATATTATATTATTATCGATTAACGAATTAATTGATATCATTTAAATAATTAAAAAATTTGTAATTTAGTTTTAGTGGTTTACATATCTATTAAAATCATAAATTCTAAATCATCATATCAATATGACATTGTTTATAATATACTTACGATATCTAACTTTAATATTTATGTATAATATGACATTTAATTATTTTTGTAGAATAATATACATCACGTATTTAATGACACAATAAAGTACCTAATATTTTTAAAATCATACATTCTTAAATTTAAAATTTTATCGTTCACTTTTGAATATGTAACACATATTTTCATTTCAGTTGAAAGTCGTTAAAATTATAAATAATAATCAATTAAAATTAAACACATATAATTAAAAAATATTAAATACTTAATTATATTAAAGAAACAAATTAAATAATTAATTATGCTATTAAAAATATCAAATACTCAATTACATAAAAAATAATTACCACAATACGCATAATACTAAAATTATTTGAAAAAAAGTCAATTCATTTATGAAAAAATAAAGAGTAAACTACTCGTTTAGTATCTAAACATTACTTCTATTCCATTTTCATACATAAACTTTCAAATTGTCCCTATTTTAATCCCTCTAATTTATTTTTATTAATATTTTTAGTGACATGACATTTTTATTATAATTTTATTAATATATAATTTAAATAAAATATAAATTTAAAATTATACCACAAATCTAAAATCACAAACTCATCATATATTAATAAAATAAGTTAGAATGATTAAAATAAGAGTAATTTGAAAGTTAAGTGATTAAATTTTAAAAAAAGTTAACTTTGGTTATCAAAATAGAAGTAAGAAAATATTTGAGTGATGGATAATATAATTTAACCAAATGAATTAAGAAAATAATTGAGTGATGGATAATATAATTTAACCAAATGAAACCTAACTTAATGTTAAGTATGGTTTTAAAAAAAAAAAGTTTAAGTACCAAAAAGGAAACAAATGTAATAGTTTAGGTACTAAACATGAGTTTACCCGAAATAAATTCAAGGATAAACAAATAAAAAGAAAAGACAAAGACGAGTTTCTCAAGAACTCCCCCTAACACCCCTCGGTCAATGAGATCCCTCTCTTTGTTTATTCCCTCAACTCTTCTCAAGTATATATACATTTGAAGGCCTTTTTTGATTTTGCAGGCTCCTCTTGTTTACTTGTGAGGATTTGGGTTGGTAGCTTTATTCTGGTATATCATATGTACCTTGAATTTTAACATTCTTTTAGATTGTAATTGTTGGTGTGGTTATAAAAGTTTTGCTGTTTTGTTTGTTTGATTGGCAGTGGTGAGGGGAAATGGCTCCAGATGCAAAAATGCACAGTTTTGAAGAGGTTGCAAAGCACAACAAGATCAAAGATTGCTGGTTGATTATTTCTGGGAAGGTCAGATCTTTCTTTTTCTTTTACTTGTCTTTGTATTTCAGGATGGTTTATCTGCTTTTCTTTGTTTGATTATTGATTGTTGAGTGCTTCTGATCATCTTCCAATCGAAAGTTAAATCTAATCCTAATCCTAGTTAGTGGGGAGACTCTTTGGGAAAGGAAGGAGAGTGCTCTTAGAGGATCTAGGACCCATGACCTAATGGAACATGAGGGAACAAAGATGAGCTGCTTGCCATCTAGCCAAATATACTTGCTCATTCTGCAACTCTTAGATTATGCTTGCCATCTGATCAAATGTGCTTGCTCAGGGTTTCTGCAACTCTTAGATTATGTTTGCCATCTGACCAAATGTGTTTTTTGCTCAGTGTTTCTTCAACTCTTAGATTATGTTTGCCATCTGACCAAATGTGTTTTTTGCTCAGTGTTTCTTCAACTCTTAGATTATGCTTGTCATGGTATATATAATTGAGATTTCCCTTTAATAGGTGTATGATGTAACTCCATTCATGGATGATCATCCAGGTGGTGGTGAAGTCTTGCTGTCAGCCACGGGTAATCTTTTGATTAAATTTAGTCAATTAAGCCATAACATGGTGGGGAAAATAATGATGGGTATTGGGGTGTTGTAACAGGGAAGGACGGCACAAATGATTTTGAAGATATAGGGCACAGTAATGATGCACGAGACATGATGGAAAAATACTACATAGGAGACATTGATTCAAGCATCGTCCCCAACAAGCGCACCTACATTCCCCCACAGCAAACCCCTTACAACCCCAACGCCAAGGCCTCTGAATTTGTCATTAAGATCCTACTGTTTCTAGTGCCCCTCCTCATCCTCGGCTTGGCTGTTACAGTTCGTCAATACACTAAAAAGTAGGAAGGAATTGCTGCTTTCATCTTTTACTTCAAAACTCTCATATGTTATTGTTTCATTTCCTTTTTAGTGTTCAACCCGATGCTGGGTTCATCGTATGTTCATTGTCCAAAATTATAAATGTTTTGAACCCGGTTCGGCCGTATTAATCAGGTTTTATATACATGATTATGAGTTCATCTAGCATGCAGTGTAGTGCTTGATGTTTTCGAGACTGTTCCATATATTGAGGCTAAAAAAGAGTTGAAAGACGTTAGAGGTAGACCATGGAAACATTCTCTTGCAATGGGGAACAGTGGACTGCAGATTTATATAACTAAATAAATAAGCATTTTCTCAATTAACGTCACTACATCCTTAGTCATGGCAAGATAAGAAGATAAAACTCAGCACAGACAACATTTTAAGCTGTGCATCAAAAGGGAGACAAGAATACTCAAAGAACCCGGATTCAAGAACGAGACAAATGTGTGATCAAAAGGATGACTCTATCTTGTCATGAAGATTCACCACCAAGTCATGAGCATCACTCGAGTTTCCATACATCCAGTTGTACCGACATACTATTGCACTCCCTTAAAATCTCATCCATGCTGCTGTACTTCTCTATGATCAATTTCCTCCTCTGCAATACTAATGCTGCAATCGCATAAAGCAATAAATCGTCTGTAGGGGGTGCCCTCTGCCTTATGATGCTCTAGGCTGACTTCCCAATCCCAGCTCTAATGGCTGCCTGATCTGCCCACATGACCTCCCAATGGAAAATTGTCTGTTCAAATGTTAATTCCCTTATAAATAGTACCACCACCATCCTATAAACAAAAAAGCAATCCTCAGCCTGGAGCATCTCCAAATGCCTGTAGAGGTGAGAGTCCTTACATTTGATTATCTTGGAAACAATATTAAGTTGCCTTCTGATTCCCACCTCATCCAGCCTAAAATTATGTCGAGCTTTCTTCATGAAGTATACGAAACACCAGAATGCCTCATAATCCTTGGGGATTACAGAAATTATTGGAGAAAGGAGATCACTCATGCCCTGGCAGTAGCCAATTTCAGGGTCATAAAGGGCATAAGCTTCAAGGATAGCAACTAAACGCGCAGCATGGAAAATTCTGTAGGGCTCCAGGTGATCATAATTCTTTAACCCAACAGCCTCAGCTGAACGACGTGCCCTCCCTTCTGATATGGCAGCTAGACAAGTATAGTATGGCATCCATTCAGCATTGGCACGAACAGCAGCCACACGAATGATGCATTTCCAGGTGGAGAAATCTTCAGCAGCACGTATTTCATTTAACCCTTCAGTGCTTGAGGGAGAAACATTCCTTTTTGAAGACATGTTAGGATCATTCTCCTCCCTGCTGTCCAAAGAGGGGGAACCCTGAATCACTTCAGGGTCTTCAGAGGAGTCAGAATCTGATGACTCACTGTTTAGTGCTGACACATCAGCATTTGTTATTCTTCTTGAACTGTCATCTCCTTCCAACGGAGTACTGGATGCTTCATCCGAGTACCCAGCATCTGGACTCCTTTCCTCAATAGACAGAGATTCTCTGGCACTTACCACATCTTCGGAGCTAGATGCGTCCGTCTCTTGGATAAGACTTCCACCGTCTCCATTTTGACAAGCTATTTCAGTTAACTTAGATCTTCCACTGCTGTGTTTTACGAGCCGCCGACACTCTTTCTTTCCTTCATCAACAAATTGACAAAAGAGAAGAATAAACTAAAGAGGTAATTCTCAATAACAATCAACTTATGTAGTTCAAAGGAACAACAAAGTAACAAATATGGGCAAGATAATGGGAAGTGTACCTTTTCTGAGTTCCTAACGGCATCTGTTTCTTCTTTGGAACTGTTTAAATCGTAGCACAAAGCAAAAGGGGAAAAAACATCATGGTATGAGATGCGAAACCCATGGCTCAAGAGTAGCTAAAATGTTCCACTGAATTTCATGATGCTATGGCTTGAGAGAGAGTAAGAGAACAACAACAGAAACAGCAACAACCACAATAACAAATTTGTAGCAAAGGTTATGTGTACTTGCACTCCAACGATGAAGGGCCAGACCTCAGCCCTAATACTTCGATCAACACCCTACATCAATAACATACAAGATTATGCAAACCAATTACAAGAAACCAAATCAAAGAGAAAATGAATTGGTTAGTTAAAACAGTAACTCACTCTACTGCGAACTTTCTTCAAGAACTTCACTCCATCATCACGGAGTCTACCACCATCTGGTGTAAAGAAATCTCTCCACAGCTGTTGTGAAAGGGCACGTTTCTTTCGGCGGCGAGAAAAGGGCGATTTGTGTCAAACACTGAAAAAGAAAGGTCAAATTTTCGATGGGAAACGAGAAGCTAATGATAATATGCCAAGAACGTGTGATTTGTACGGGACAAAAACAAATTTCTGAAAGCAAAAATCTGAGTATCTAAGCAGCAGTCAAGAGAACCAATATATAGATAGGGTTCAAGGAAAGAAAAGTAATTATTAAGCTTGCCAGAAAGGGATTTTGGGTTGTTTCAAAAATCATTATTAGGCTGCTGCTCCTCACTAATCAAGCTTAGCACAACTCTTATGAGCAAAGAATACTGGCTTACAGAAATGAAGGTCCACCAAAAATATTAATGTTTCAATTCTATTTTGCTTAGGAGGAGATCAGCAATGGGCAGGAGGGTCTGTTTTGGACCCTGCCGATAGAAAACTAGAATGTCGGTTCCGAATCCGATGACCAGATTTTAATCTAAGGCAGCCTCAAATACCGAACAAATATACACCAGCTCCAGTTATATGAATCATAACAGAAAAATCTTTCCAATAAACTTTTTTCCATTTGTCGAAAAAAACTTCAAATAAACATGAGTTATTAAGATCAATTAATCAATTCCCAGGCGTTTCAAGCTTTTAAACTCTTAAGACATTATTTGATAATGAAAAGAAAATTGGAAGAATGGAAAACTGAAGGGGTAGAAAATAAAAGATTACAAAATGGAACGACGGAAAATTAAATTTTTCCTCCTATTGGGGTGCTTGGTAGGAAGGTTGAAAAAATTGAAAGAATATACAATTTTCTTTCCATCCATCACTCCAATTTTTTTTCTATTTTTCCAAAATCTACTTTCATCTTTTCATTTCTTCACCCCGATCAAACAAAACCTAACAGTTGGAAGTCAGGATTCTTCCTGGAGAAAAAAAATCTCATTTCACATCATAATAATAAAGCCCCCCCAAATATCCCTGTTTTATTTTATTGTGTGTGTTAATACTAATCAAATATTGCAACTTTAAACTTTAAGGCGTTTTTCAAAAAAAAAATCATCTTTTTAATTTAATATTATTAATTAGGTATTGATCAGACTATATTTTTCGATCTAACACCTTTTGCAGTAAGACGCGCCCCCTGCACCGCGCTATACGTTGATTTGACATCATGTGGGGTAAGGCGCGCCCCCTGAGACGCGCCTTATGCTGACATGGATATACGTGTGAACGGGCGAGGGTATGTTGATAATTAAGGGTATGGTGCGGCGCAGGGGCCGCGCCTTACATGTGATTATGACACGCGTCAAAAAGGCGCATGCCCTGTCCCGCGCTATACCTTTAATTACCAAATTACCCCGCCCGTTCACACCCATCCTTTCCTATAAATACCCTAATTCTCAATCACTTTCATCACACCAAATCCTCTCAACTTCTCTCAAATACTCTTATATTCTATTATTAAGGTATATTTTATTATATTTAGTTTTTTTAGTAATTTATTTCATTATTTTAATTGCTTAATATTTTATTTAATTAATTATTTTTGCAGACATAAAATGGAAGGCGGTCTACTTTGGTTGGATGAAAATCATATATCTCGACACTTTGCTGATACGGTAACATTTTAATGTTTTAATTTAATTAATTAATTTATTTAATGTATGATTATTAGTTTAAAAAATAATTTGTGTAATTATTTATTTTTTAGGAGAGAGACCGTATATTAGATCTTTTTATTAGGAACCTTAAGTTAGTTATACCTACTCGTATAATGTCGTATTTAGTAGAGGCTGGATTCGGTCACCTAGGTAGATATCAGGGTCACTATAAGATAGAACCAGACCTTATTTCTGCCATAGTAGAGCGATGGAGGCCGGAGACCAACACATTCCATCTTCCGTGCGAAGAGTGCACAATCACACTTGAAGATGTTTCTATGCACCTGAGGCTTCCGGTGGATGGAGGTGTGATATAAGGGATATTTTCTGGTTCTTGGACAACTTTGTGTCGGGTTAGTCTAGGACGTGTCCCGGAAAATTTTAACGGTGGACGGATACCGTTAAATTGGTTAGATGCCAATTTTCGGGAGTTGAGCGAGGACGCGTCTGAAGATGAAGTTAAACAGTATGAACGGGCATGCATACTGCAGCTGATAGGAGGGTTGCTGATGCCGGAAAAATCGCGCAACCAAGTTCACTGTATGTGGTTGCAACATCTTGGCGACTTTCATCTGACCGGATCACTCAGTTGGGGCTCAACAATATTGGCTTGCCTGTACAGGGAGATGTGTCGAGCCATTGACTACACGCGTAATGCTATCGGTGGATGTCTCCTGCTGCTGTAGTCTTGGGCATGGTATCGATTGCCCTTTTTATGTCCCGTTGTCAAGAACCCATTCGTATTTCTACTACTCCTGAGGTAATTATAAAACTAATTTTGTATATTAATAATTTTATACAGTGAATAAGAAATTATTTTTCTTGAATAGGTGGTCTACTGATAGGAAAAATCATCAGGAGCTACATGATGATTTAGAAAAAATTAGGGTGTTAATCAATAAGAAGGCTGGAACACAGGTATGAATTTTAATGTTTAAAAATTGATTTTAGATTATAGTTATATAATTAGATTAATATTTTGATAAAAAATATATATATTTGTTTTAGTTTGAATGGGTGGCATATTCTACTGATGATGTGAGGACGGAGATCCCACCTGAGTTGAGGGGCCCATCAGATGTTTGGATGGCGATGGTCCCCTTGATCTGTTATGGGACCTTCGAGTGACACTTCACTGATCGCGTGCTCCGGCAATTTGGTTGTTTTCAACCAATTCCGGAAGCACCTCGCAATATGGACGAGTTACATAGCACAGATAGACGCAGCAAGACAGATACAGATTGGCTGG